GGCCCCAGAGTTTTGTTTAGAGTTTAGGGTTTGGCACCCATGATTTTATTTTCGTGTTTGGGGGTTTGCCAGCCAACATCTCCTGTTGAAGCTTAGGGTTTGCTAACCCACGTTTTCTTCGTGTGGGGTTGGGGTTTGCTACCCACGGTTGTTCTGTCAGGTTTGAGTTTTGGCAACCAACATCCCCTCAATGTCTCGAGTTTGCCGGCCAGTATTCGTGCTTTCAGGTTTTGGAGTTTGGCGCCGACGTTTTGCTTCTAGGGTGCGTAGGTTTGCCAACCCACGTTTAATTTTTTTTTCGAGGTTTAGCGTTTGCAAGCCAACATTTTCTTGTTTCGGCATCTGCTTCAGAGGTTTGGGTTCGTCAATCCACATGTGTTTCTTTTCGCGTTTGGGGCTTGTTACAGTATTTTTTCAGGGTTTGGGCTTTGCAGCCTACGATCTTCCAGGGTTGTGGGGCTTGCCAACCAACATCTCTGTTTGAGGTTTCGGGTTTGCCACGGCATATTCTTTCTTTTAGGGTTTGGGGTTTGGCGCACCCACGATCTTTTCTCAGGGTTTGGGGTTTTGCCATCTGGTATCTACTTTTGAGAACTAGGGGTGCTGAGATTTGGCACTTCGTTAGATGTTTCGTAAAGTTTAGTGTTCGCAGACCCGTTTTTTGTGTATATAGAGCTTGTGGTTTGGCACCCACGATCTTCTAGGGTTGCGGGGTTGTCCAACCAGGTCGGGATTTGGGGGGGCGCGATCTGGTTTTGGGGTTCGCCCACCAGCATCTCCTTCTGAGATTTAGGGTTTGGACACGTTCTTTGGTGGTTTGCCACCCCAGATCTTCTTTCAGGTTCGGGTTTTACCAACATTTCCTTAATGATTGTGTTGCGGGTTTGGGGCCCATGATCTTGGTTGGGGATCTCTTTTTCAGTTTTGGGCTATCAGGTTTTGCCGGCCCCAGAGTTTTGTTTAGGGTTTAGGGTTTGGCACCCATGATTTTATTTTCGTGTTTGGAGGTTTGCCAGCCAACATCTCCTGTTGAAGCTTAGGGTTTGCTAACCCACGTTTTCTTCGTGTGGGGTTGGGGTTTGCTACCCACGATCGTTTCGTCAGGCCAACCAACATTTGTTCAACGTCTCGGGTTTGCCGGCCAGTATTTGTGCTTTCAGGGTTGGTGCTTGGCGCCGACGCTTTGCTTCTAGGGTGCGTAGGTTTGCCAACCCACGTTCAATTTTTTTTTCGAGGTTTAGCGTTTGCCAGCTAACACGTTCTTGTTTCGGCATCTGCTTCTGAGGTTTGGGTTCGTCAATCCACATGTGTTTCTTTTCGCGTTTGGGGCTTGTTACAGTATTTTTTCAGGGTTTGGGCTTTGCAGCCTACGATCTTCCAGGGTTGTGGGGCTTGCCAACCAACATCTCTGTTTGAGGTTTCGGGTTTGCCACGGCATATTCTTTCTTTTAGGGTTTGGGGTTTGGCGCACCCACGATCTTTTCTCAGGGTTTGGGGTTTTGCCATCCGGTATCTACTTTTGAGAACTAGGGGTGCTGAGATTTGGCACTTCGTTAGATGTTTCGTAAAGTTTAGTGTTCGCAGACCCGTTTTGTATATAGAGTTTGTGGTTTGGCACCCTCGATCTTCTAGGGTTGCGGGGTTGTCCAACCAGGTCGGGGTTTGGTGCCCGCGATCTGGTTTTGGGGTTCGCCCACCAGCATCTCCTTCTGAGATTTAGGGTTTGGACACGTTCTTTGGTGGTTTGCCACCCCAGATCTTCTTTCAGGTTCGGGTTTTGCCAACCAACATTTCCTTAATGATTGTGTTGCGGGTTTGGGGCCCATGATCTTGGTTGGGGATCTCCTTTTCAGTTTTGGGCTATCAGGTTTTGCCGGCCCCAGAGTTTTGAACTTTAGAAGCGAGTGTTGAAATGTCGCACCGCCGCTCAAGCACTCAAGAGGGTTCATGGCCTTTGCTGGGGCCCTGGAACTTGTCAGGCTGGGACACCAAGGTATCACCAGCAACTTCTGGGGCTTTGGGTGCCCGTTCTGCTGTACTGCACCCTCGGCTCGAACTTTCGTGGCTTTCCTGCTTCTGGGATATATTCTGGGCTGCTTATCAGGAGCCGCTGGGGCCTATTGGGCTTTGTCTGGAGGACTCCCGACCTTTGCCAGGCCGACCGAGAGGGCCAGTGAGCCCGAACCTCCGAGGCGGAGGAGCCGACTTGCTGGGTATTTGCATGAGTGACAGCGAGGGCGGTGGGATCTCCCTTTGCAAATTGAGGGTCTTTCCCTTAGGCTTCGGGGTCTTAGGTTGGGGTCGCGAGCCTCCCATAGCCGGCAGGGTCCCTTGTCGCCTTCGGGCTCTCAGTCCTCTTTTCGGTTGTCTCCACGCCTCCACGGCCTGCCTCCAAACCCTAACCCGTGTGCATTCCGCTGGTAGGTCTTCCTTGGACCTGCCGGTGAGCCCTAACCCCTTGCAGGCTTCGGCCCAGAGAGGGCGGGATTTGCCTTCTCCGTGCCCCGCTATCTTCCCTTTCTGCCGCCTCGACTTCCGTCGTGCCTGAGTACCCTTTGCCTCGGAGAGGTCCTGCCTTGGATTTCTCCTCCCGCCAGCGTCTGGCTTTGGGCTTCCCAGCCTCCCTGACAGCTGCCTTGGACTTTGCCGCGCCCTCACGCTGTCCGAACTCACAGCTCACCAACGGGCCGAGCGAGCCTGGCTGGCCGGCTGCTGGGCGCGTGCCGTCCTTACGGCAGAGGCGGACCGACATGATCCGACCCCGCCTATTGGACTTTCTTCTCGTTACTACTGCATCCTGCGAGCCTCGGGTCGCGAGAGCCCGGCGGTGGTCTCTTCCCTGGCTGCCTTCAGGCGAATCGTTGGCCCGGACTTGGGCACTTCGGTCACCCACGACTTCCCTTCGACTTCTGAGTGTCGGGTCTTCTTTGCGGCTGCTGGCCTGCCTTACCCTCAGTCTCTTTCTCACTGACATGGACTTCCAGGCCATTTCTGCTGTGGAGTCGGGAGCCGTTGAAATAGTGCAGTTCTCTTGGCCCGGAGCAGATTTCCTACGAATGCCTCGCTTACTGTATTATGAAGCGTCCCTCTGGCTTCTTGCTGTGTGTACCGGAGGGCTTCCTTGCACAGGAGGAGCTGGAGCAAGGCCACCAGGCGGAGGAGGCCGAGGGGATTGGCCCTTCCCTTTCGCACGGCTCCTTCACGGGACAACACCTCTTTCAGGATGATCGCCTGGCAGGTGGCTCAAAGCTTGGACCTCCTGCGGGCGGAATCCATAGACGGGGCCCGGGACGTGCTCTCTTTACTCCTGCTCATGCTCGAGCAGTGCGCCCAGGACAACGGAGACAGCTCCCTAGCTTGGTTGCTCACCTTGCAGGCCGAACCGCCCTAAGGCCTGTTCCAGCAGCCGGCCAGCATACCAGGCAGCAGCCTTCAGACGTTTTCGCCGCTGGCCGAACAGCGATGGATCACTGTGGCATTAGCCTTTGTCAAGGAACTCGAGACGATTTCCGTGAGGAGGGCCGAAGTTGCCCCCAAGCAAAAGTCGCCTGCAGTGCCGCCCGCTTTGCCAAAGCCCGATCCTCCGGACCAACTTTCTCGAAAGCAGCAGCGCGCGGCGGCCTGGGCTGCCAAAAAGGCCACGGAGGCGAAGAAGTGATGTGAGCGAGGCGGGATGAGCCTTATGATGGTGTGCCCTCAGGAGCCGTAAAGTGCACTAGGGGCCCCAGGCGCGTTACCAACGGTGGCCGGGTTGTACCTTGCCGGCCGTCTTCCCAGGCTGCTGTGCCTCCCCCTGCCTCAAACGCCAGTGTAAGTGAAGTGTGCGCAGAAAGCCTTCTGCGTGCCCCTTGCCTTTCCACATCCCGCGTGCCGTGGCCAATCCCTCTTTCCAAGCCTCGCCCTCTGCCCCGCACTCTGGAGGATGTCTCAGTCGATGTTAAGGTCCCGGCTGCTGTGTTCCCTCTCGAGGGCTTTGCCTTGGCAGACGGCGCTTAATTTGACTTTTGCACCTGGGTCGCTGCCCTTCCCAGGCTTCTCCGCCAGGGCCGCGCCCAGTTTGCTTTCTTCGTGAACTCAACTTTGACTCTGCGGAGGGACCCTTCTTTGGCCCCTCCCCGCCACTCTTTTTCCATTGCCCCGCCTTTCTCGGGGTCTTTGATGATTGCTCCTGCAGGTCTGCTTCTGTCCGTCTGCTCAAGAGAGTTCGCCAGTGCACCCACCTCGTGGCCATGGGCCTTAACTTCTTGCATGCCGGGGGTAAGCCCGTTCCTTTGTCCTCCCTGCAGAGGCCCCTAAGCCGTGACCAGCACAAAGTCTACGCGCGGCTTGGGGGGATCGTCGAGCGTGCTCCCGAAGTGCCGGGAAAATTCACTGCTGTTGCTGTTCGGGCAGGCGGGGTCTGCACATCGCGGCTCGCCTTGCAGAGGTTATAACTAGCCTCAAAAGTACCGGCCTGCAAGCCGGCTCCTATAGTGGTAGTGCTGACCCTTTGCCCGAGAAAGGTTCCATGAGGTCGGGGCCAGAAGCTTTGCGGCCGTATGGCCCTCTGTTTGCGTCTCAGCTTGCTCTCCATGGCCGTGGCCTTTGGAATATCCTGCCCCTTACCTGGACTCGTCCCTTCGGATGCCCTTCCTCGAGCCCGAGGTCATCCGGTTTCCCGGGACTTTGGAGCCCTGCGCCTCTTTCGGAAGGGAGGACAAGCAGGAGCTGCTTGAGATTTGCAAAATTTGGGACGTGGCCGGCCTGTTGGATTTGACTCCGGCCCACTGCCCGACCGTGCCCTCACGAGGCTGCTCCGCGCCTACAAGGTTTTTTCAGGGGATGCTGCTTGGATGGGTCTGTGACAGACCGCCGGGACTTTTACACTCAGGCAGGTGTGTCCTTGGAGAGGTCTCGAACAAATGCTATCGACCCAGCCTTTGTCCTCTCCGATTTCAGGCGTTACGAGGCCTACAGCTCCTTCCTCCAGCGTGTTTGGGCCGGACAAGCTTGGGCTCTCCCCCTCCTGTGAAGGGGTGCTCGACTTCCCCCGCAAAGCCGTTTTGGTCTCCGACTCAAGCCTACTTTGGCCTTGCTGCAAGCCCACGAGGGCCTCCTTCAACACTACGGATGCTGGCCGGCTGCAGTCGCGATCCAGGGTGTCCAGCACGGGCCCGGACGGCCTGATCATCGATGATTATTTTGGCCGGCTCTTTCCAGCCAGGCTGTCCCTCTGGATCCCTCGCCTACGTGCGCCGAGCGAAGGAGGCCTACCAGGCTGAAAGCGTCGAGGGTTCGGACGCGAAGGACGTGCTGAGCCAACGCGTCTTCAAGGTCGCAGGCGCTGCTGTCGACAGCAGCCCGGAAACGGTGCGAGGCGGGATGACCTTAATCGGTGCCCCCGTTGAGAAACGGCTGGCCCTGGCTGCAGCTTCTGTCCCTGTTGCCAGTCTCTCAGCGAGGAGCTTGTTGACATGTTGTGTGGCTCCTGGGCTTCTTGCCTGATGTTTCGCCGGCCTCTCATGTCTGCCCTTGATGGTCTTTTCGCTTTAGGCCGGTCCTCCCCTGCGAGGCCTGAGTCGGGTGGCCACCTTAGACCCTTCAAGACGAGCCGCGGGCGAACGGCAGTTGCTCGCCGTCCTGGCCCCCATCGCCTGCGCCGACTTGTCCGCCGAGGCCCTGCCGTCCATCTTCGCCTCTGATCCTCCAGTACACATGGCGCCTTTTGCGAGTTGCAGGTCGCGCGGCTTTGGACTTTTGGTTGGCCTCTGACTTTAAGGGTCGATCAGTGCGTTTGGCCCGCGCAGGCCCGATCCCTGAGCACTGAGCGACACTGGAGCCGAGCCCTTGCTTCACCAGCGTACCTAAGCCTGTTGCTTTCAACTTGGACTTCTTCGAGGTAGGCTCGGCCAGGGGAGGTGTTTCACAGCCCTCTCCCCTGACCTCCGGGATTGGGTGGTCTACCTCCTTTCGTCTCAGCAGCTCGGGTCTGCTCCTCGCGCCCGCTTCCGGCTCTTTCTCGCCAGCAAGGTTCCCGAGGCTTAGGTCGCACCAGGCGCCTTTTGGGCTTGACCCGCAGAAGGCCCATAAGGGCCGTCGCAACCAGAGCCTCCTTGCCCACTTCGTTTTCTTCGCCACGGCGGTGCGTTGGGAGGTGCCAGTTGCCCTTGTCCTGCCCCTCTCCTCCTTTGCTACGAAGGCCGGGCGGTGCTGCAGCGGACTTCAGCCAACCGAGCATGGCAATTGACCTTCCTCGAGCACTGGCTGGCCGAGCGGGGCGTGACTTCAAGCACTTTTTGGCCGAGAAGGTAGCAACACCTCACGGACTACGGGCGCGAGCTTTTTGACGCAGGCAGGCCTTACTGGCATTTGGCCGAGACCGTAAATGCCACGGCCTCGAGGAGGCCGGCTATCAGGCGGCAGTTGCAGCAGGCTTGGGACCTGGCTTTTTCGTGGATGAGTTTGGAGCCGCGCACCCACCACGTTGCCATGCCGTCTGTGATACTGTTGTTGGCGCTGCTGTCTGTATGCTTGATTTGGGGATGGAGATCAGAGGCGGGCATCTTCGCTTTAGCCTGGGGAGCTCTTTTGAGGATTGGAGAGGCTGCAGGGGCCACCAGACAGAGCATCCCTCATCCTACCCCGCGACGTGCTCTGGACGCAAAGTTTCGTTTTGCTGTGCATAGCGAGCCCAAAACTAGGCTCAGGGCGGCTCGGCACCAAGCAGCAAAGCTCGAACCAGCGGACCTTGTGCAGCTCGTCGACATCGCCTTCCGCGGCCTCCCCCGGACAGCTAAGCTCTGGCCTTTCTCCACTCAGACTCTGCGCCGAAGGCTCTACAGTGCTTTGGAACGTCTCGGGATACCCACGGCAAGGACAGAAAAGCGGCCCCTGGACCTGGGGTCGTTTCGCCCAGGTGGGGCGACCCACCTTCTGCAGATTTCAGAAGACTCTGAGCTTGTCCGGAGGAGGGGCAGGTGGGTGAGTCACAAGGTGATGGAAATTTATTTGCAGGAGGTCGCAGCAATTTCTTTCTATCCCTCCTTATCTGCGGAGACACGCCAGAAGGTACTACAAGCAGCGAGCTGTTTTCCTTCTGCTCTCAGCCAGGCTACAGCGTGGACTCGGGACAACATTTCCCCGCAAACCTGGTACCACCTCTGGGGATGAAGCGTTGCCATTTGCACTGGTGACAGTTGGGAGAGACGGGTGGTTTTTTTCCTTGGCACGAAACTGCTCTTAAGACTTTCGGGAGCAGCTGCTGGATGGTATGGCCAGCAAGCTGAACGTGCGAATGGACAGAACACCTTGCGGAGCAAAATGAAGAGCGAGCTTCTGAACTTTAGAAGCGAGTGTTGAAATGTCGCACCGCCGCTCAAGCACTCCCTCCCTGCCCTCCCGGCTTTGTCGCTGGGGTGGTTTTTTCCTTGGCACGAAGCTGCTCTTAAGACTTTCGGGAGCAGCTGCTGGATGGCATGCCCAGCAAGCTGAACGTGCAAATGGACAGAACACCTTGCGGAGCAAAATGAAGAGCGAGCTTCTGTTTAGGGTTTAGGGTTTGGCACCCATGATTGTATTTTCGTGTTTGGAGGTTTGCCAGCCAACATCTCCTGTTGAAGCTTAGGGTTTGCTAACCCACGTTTTCTTCGTGTGGGGTTGGGGTTTGCTACCCACGGTCGTTTCGTCAGGCCAACCAACATTTTCTCAACGTCTCGGGTTTGCCGGCCAGTATTTGTGCTTTCAGGGCTTGGTGCTTGGCGCCGACGTTTTGCTTCTAGGGTGCGTAGGTTTGCCAACCCACGTTCAAAATTATTTTCGAGGTTTAGGGTTCGCAAGCTAACATGTTCTTGTTTCGGCATCTGCTTCAGAGGTTCGGGTTTGTCAATCCACATGTGTTTCTTTCGCGTTGAGGGCTTGTCACAGTCATTTGTTAGGGTTTGGGTTTTGCCACCCACGATCTTCCAGGGTTGTGGGGCTTGCCAGCCAACATCTCTTTTTGGGGTTTCGGGTTTCTTGCCACGTCATTTTTTTTTGGTTTGTGGTTGGTCACCCACAATCTTTTCTCAGGGTTTGGGGTTTGCCAGTCGGCAGCTCCTTTTGCTGCTGCTGATGCTGCTGCTGCTGCTGCTACTCCTGCTGCTGCTGCAGCTGTTGCTGCTGCTGCTGCTGCTGCTGCTGCGACTACGACGACGACTACTACTACTACTACCACCACCACCAACACCACCACTGCTACTACTCCCTGCTGCTGCCGCTTCACACTTTCGGCGTTTCGAGTCTCGGGTCCAGCCGCAAACCCAAACCCGAAAAAAGAAAATGTGGCAGGGCAGGTAAACAGTGAACCGCAACAACGGATGTTGGTTGGCAAACCCCGAACCTGGCAAAATGATCGGGTAGCAAACCTCAACCCCACATGAACAAAGCATCCCTGAACTTCAAAAGGACATGTTGGCTGGCAAACCCCCAAGCACGACTGGGGCCGGCAAAATCTGATAGCCCAAAACTGAAAAGGAGATCCCCAAACAAGATCATGGGCACCAAACCCGCAACACAATCATTAAGGAAATGTTGGTTGGCAAACCCGAGACATTAAGGAAATGTTGGTTGGCAAACCCCGAACCTGAAAGAAGATCTGGGGTGGCAAACCACCACAAATCGTGTCGCAAAGCCTAAATCTCA